AAACTCGCGGGTACTGACAGAATACCGGGGAGGTGGAGTTTAAACTCGCAGATACTGACAGAATACCGGGGAGGTGGGGTTTGGACTCGCGGGTACTGGCATAATACCGGGGAGGTGGAGTTTAAACTCGCGGGTACTGACAGAATACCGGGGAGGTGGAGTTTAAACTCGCAGGTACTGACAGAATACCGGGGAGGTGGAGTTTAAACTCGTGGGTACTGACAGAATACCGGGGAGGTGGGGATCGGACTCGCGGGTACTGGCAGAATACCGGGGAGGTGGGGTTTAAACTCGCGGGTACTGGCAGAATACCGGGGAGGTGAAGTGTGGTCTCAGGGTGCCAATAGAATGCCGGGGAAGGTACCAGCAACATAACAGGAAGGCAGGATTTGTTGGTAATGACGGAATACCAGATACCAACAAAATTTCAGAGAGGAGGGGCTTGAAGTCAGGATACAAAATAGATAGAAATTTGGGACAGGGGCACTGGCAGAATACCGGGCGAATGGGGTTCGGACTCGCGGGTACTGGCAGAATACCGGGAAGGTGGGGTTTGGACTCGCGGGTACTGACAGAATACCGGGGAGGTGAGGTTCGGACTCGCGGGTACTGGCAGAATACCGGGAAGGTGGGGTTTGGACTCGCGGGTACTGACAGAATACCGGGGAGGTGAGGTTCGGACTCGCGGGTACTGACAGAATACCGGGGAGGTGGAGTTTAAACTCGCGGGTACTGGCAGAATACCGGGGAGGTGAAGTGTGGTCTCAGGGTGCCAATAGAATGCCAGTGAAGGTACCAGCAACATAACAGGAAGGCAGGATTTGTTGGTAATGACGGAATACCAGATACGGGTATGATGGGTACCAATAAAATTTCAGAGAGGAGGGGCTTGAAGTCAGGATACAAAATTGATAGAAATTTGGGACAGGGGCACTGGCAGAATACCGGGGGAATGGGGTTCGGAGTCGCGGGTACTGGCAGAATACCGGGAAGGTGGGGTTTGGACTCGCGGGTACTGACAGAATACCGGGGAGGTGAGGTTCGGAATCGCGGGTTCTGACAGAATACCGGGGAGGTAGAGTTTAAACTCGCGGGTACTGGCAGAATACCGGGGAGGCAGGGTTCAGACCCGCGGGTACTGGCAGAATACCGGGGGAATGGGGTTCGGACTCGCGGGTACTGGCAGAATACCGGGAAGGTGGGGTTTGGACTCGCGGGTACTGACAGAATACCGGGGAGGTGAGGTTCGGATACGCGGGTACTGACAGAATACCGGGGAGGTAGAGTTTAAACTCGCGGATACTGGCAGAATACCGGGGAGGTGGGGTTCGGACCCGCGGGTACTGACAGAATACCAGGGAGGTAGGGGTTCGGACTCGCGGGTACTGACAGAATACCGGGGAGGCGGAGTTTAAACTCGCGGGTATTGACAGAATACCGGGGAGGTTGAGTTTAAATTCTCGGGTACTGACATAATACCGGGGAGGTTGAGTTTAAACTCGCGGGTACTGACAGAATACCGGGGAGGTTGAGTTTAAACTCGCGGGTACTGACAGAATACCGGGGAGGTGGAGTTTAAACTCGCAGATACTGACAGAATACCGGGGAGGTGGGGTTCGGACTCGCGGGTACTGACAGAATACCGGGGAGGTGGAGTTTAAACTCGCGGGTACTGACAGAATACCGGGGAGGTGGGGTTTGGACTCGCGGGTACTGACTTACATTGTCAGTGCATCTAAAATGTATACCCCATCTCATACCATGGTCTTTTTTTACACGAGTGGTAAATTATATAAGCCTTTTTTTCTGCCATAATTAACATTTTTTGACCGAAAATATATTCCCATTTCAAGCATTTTTTTTTTAAAAAAAAGAGAGCTCTAAAACACGTGGCTCAAAAAGGACTCTAAAATATTGCGCGTACTTTGGTTGTAATCAATTATTTCCTGGTTGGAGATAATTTAGTCCAGTGAAGGGCAGGGTGCCTTGCAGAAAAATACCTTTCTCACACAAAATAAAAAAACACACAGAAAAACAAGATTTTATTTGCTCACACCCAGGAAGGGGGTACTTTGACATTCGGTTGGGTGCTCTGTAGTCAGTTGAACACTGGACCCAAGAAGATCGACTCTGATGCCGCTTTTCGACACAAAATTGGCGTTTAGCCAAAAAAATACCTATTAAATTGCATAAATAATAGACGAAAATCTTAAAATTAGGTGTCAAAAAGGTCGAATGAGCACTGAAAATGGAAGTCAAGAACGCTCCCGGGTTATACTTTACGGGGATTCGTTTGAAGTGGTCCTATTAAAATTCAGACTTACTAGTATCCGATTCAAATGAGAGGGAGTTGTTGGTAAGTCTATTTGTCTTGGTTCTTGTTTGTATTATTTATATTATTATATTTTACAGAGTATTACTGTGGTTTATTCAAAAATTGGCAAAGTACAAACAAAAACGTAAGAAAAACTGACAGAACAGTTCATGATCGCGTATATTTACTTATTTTTATATGTTTGCGCATGTGCCGATTGGTGTTTAGTGGTACTTTGTATGATGTTTTATTTTCGTGTTTTCTACGACTACCTGCCAAATAACAAGTATTAGTACACACAAAGCTAAATAAATAAATAAATAAATAAATAAATAAATAAATAAATAAATAAATAAATAAATAAATAAATAAATAAACAAATAAATAAATAAATAAATAAATAAATAAATAAATAAATAAATAAATAAATAAATAAATAAATAAATAAATAAATAAATAAATAAATAAATAAATAAAAAAATAAATAAATAAATAAATTCAGCTGCCATTCCGTTTCATTCCGTTGCATTATTTCCCTTTTTTTAAAAAGTGAATTCAGAAATATACTAAAAACATTTCAGGACGAAATGTATTCCATTTGAGCACAATTATAATACTTTTCCTAATAACCGATTACACGTGAATATTAAAGACGATACATAATACGTTATGATCTCGATATCTTTGCGATTCATTTCTCTAGAATTATGACTGAAAGAAGCTGAATAAAATAAGAATAGGTAGAGTGTTCAACAACTCGGGTAACAATAATAGATTTGACTTGGTGAAAATATTGTATTTTCCTCCATAAAAAGGAAAAAAATTCACATTGTCGAAAATGGAAAGTCTTCAACGTAGTGTTATTTAATTTTTAGCCTGATATGTTTTTATTTAAAGAGCGGTGGTCGTCGCGCTACGCATGTGCGAAGTTTCTGTTGATAAACATTGATTTTCCCACATTGCGCTCTTCTAATGGAAATCACAAGTATGAGGTTTGACCTGGGCGCGACTTGTACTGATTACCGCCGGTGACTCCTTCGATACCTTCCAATCACCTAAAAATACCTAATTAAAGCTTGTTAACGTCTCAGTTTGATCGGCTGTCAAAGTCAAAGTCGTCATCTTTGTTTATATGAGACCCATATATCTCGCGCATGCGTGGCACGACGGCTATCGCCCTTAAACTGTTCTGAACAGTATGTTTTTTACAGAATTTCACGACGGTGCATTTGTGGGACTTCTCTTAACTCACAAAAAAGTAGTATTGCCCTACTCAGTATATGCTAGTATGACACTGCTCATAAGCTCGGTTATCTTTTTATCTTGGGGGTGCCTGGTTGCTAAGAGGAAGACGTGCCGTGACGAAAACTTATTCGAATATGTGCCGTACGCGAGCGTCGGTTCGAATACACGTCATCATTGATTTGAGATACTGTAAAATATTTTATTTTCGCTATTTTCGCTGATTCTGTGAAAATAAAATCCAGCGAATATGCATTTTTTTTCTATATTTTACATTCAATTCACCAAGAATCAGTGAAAATAAACTCCATACAAATCATCCAAAAAGTTTTTTTTCAACGAAAATTAATTCCAGCTAAAATAAAGTATTTTACAGTGTTTTTCATGTCCTTGATGTGTGCTGTTTACAATGTTACTAGACCCGTGTATGGCGGCTGTATTAAGTCACTGAAGAGAGTATTTAGGTTGAATTAAATAATTTATGAAATCAAATTAGTTTGCATTTAATGCTGTAGTCCCAATTTAAAACATTTATAAAGACAATTTTAGTTTTTTAAACAGCGCGAAGTACTTTCCCGGAATGTTGCGATCATTTTTGAAAGAAAGTCAGCAGACAAGCATGGTTGTGTAGAGGGCGGGTTTTTAGCAATTTTAACAGCAATTCTGTTTTTCTAAATGGTAAAATGCACAAGCGCAACTGATTACACAAGTATCGCGTGTCGGGTTTTTATTAAAATGACGTAAATTGATAAAAAATGCTTTCTATAAAAAAAAAACGACTACCTGTCTAGAATATATAAATACACATTTTTGCGTTTCTGTTGATTTTTTTGCCGGGTGATTTGTTGCGTCGAATTTGCATGAAGTTAAAATGCTAATACAATTAAAAAATGTTTTCAAATATAGAAAAGTGATTATTGTAGATTATATATTTCATTTTAAAATGTGGTTATTTTTTCTCTACGTCGCTAACTTGAGGCGAAAACATTAAACAAAATAACCAAAACGTTTACATTTATTATTTATGCAATTGTTTTTGTATAATAAAGAAATTTGTCAGTTAAAAAATATTATCCGACAATTTTTAAAACATAAAAGACGTTTTTGATACATTTTATTAATTATTTTTGTGATTTTTCTCAATAAACTTAACGAAGGCTTCCCATCCTTATTAGGTTCACAGAAAACACGGCATCCCATAATACTAGCCTACCGCTGCCGGATCCCATTTTACCCGCTGTTCTCATTAGCAATTTCTCCCTCGATATTTTTAATAAAACGAAATTTATTCGAGTTTTTTCTTTCATATATTAATCCCAATTGTCGTCTGAAATAACCTGTATATTAAATGACACAAATCTGTGAAAAATCAAGTGTCGATGGTGTAATTATAATACGTTCTCCCGGTTTTATCGTTCTTCCCAGAGGGAGTAAAGCATCGCTAGTTGTCTTGTCTCCCCTACACCACACCCAGAGTGATATCGTAATTTTGTGTACCTTTTCGACATCGTATTAGGGATATATTGGGGCGGAACTGGGTTGGAAGGCATCTGGAGTGCCGAATATCTCTGGTTGACCATTTCCGCTCGCTTCAGTCGGCGTGAAATTGAGGGGTAGGCGCCGTTTGGTTTTTTACTGTGGCATTTCAGGCGTCGAGTGTTCAATTCTGCGCTAGCTAAAAGCAAGATGGCGTGCTGTCTAAGTGAGGAAGCAAAAGAACAGAAACGAATTAATCAAGAAATCGAGAAACAGCTTCGAAAAGATAAACGAGATGCTCGGAGGGAACTCAAACTTCTATTACTGGGTGAGTAGAATTTTTTTTCAACCGAAAATATCGGATTTTTTTGAATATGATGTGATTCGCTTTGCATGTTAATGTCCCTATTCATTGATGACCGCCATGTTTTTCCGTCCGTATGTACTGCATGCCCCAAATGCCGAGCCCGTTTTGCAATATTCACTCGTTTCTGTTCCGATTTTTCCTACTCACAGGGACGGGAGAGAGTGGGAAAAGCACGTTTATAAAACAAATGCGCATTATCCACGGAGCGGGGTACACGGAGGACGATAGAAAGACGTACACCAAACTGGTATACCAAAATATATTTATGGCCATGAATTCAATGATACGTGCCATGGAGACACTGAAAATACAGTACAAAAATCCTAATAGCATAGTAAGTACGATTCCTAATTCTACCTGTGTTGTTATATGCATGCAAAGTTACACCATTCACGCTATCTGTGCAGAAGCACAGTTTTTTTTTTTCAATTGTACACAACAGCTATCATTTTCTTGCCCACATCTTTTCATCGCCGTACAATGCAGGAACCGAGTCGGTAGATGTATTATCGCACGAAGACCCGTTTTTAACTCGATAGGTATGTTCTCATGCTATCCCCCTAACATCTAATTAGTTAAAAATACATGTTTGAACTACATACACACAAAATGATCTTTGAGAAAATTGATGGCTATGTAATTATACGGTTCCAAATTTTAGTGGAATATCTTCACATCTTTGCTTTGTATTGTGTTATAGCCGTATTTCTCTGATGCCACATTAACATATATAGGCATTAAGTTGAAATCGCCTTCAAATAATAATTAACTAAATAAACAAAAAATATTTAATGCTTGGGTGTATTTTTCACAGTAATTTTATTGACATTTGCTGTGATTGCTTGTTTCTATAATCACATGTATGTATTTTCAATATTTGTGTATAATAAAGCAACTAGGATTCAGTCTTCATCTGCTCAATATCTGTAAAAAAAAAAAAAAACACCCAATTTTTTTTAATTGTCAATTCTTGATGTTTTTTTTGTCATTGCCTTTGGTTGTAAATACAATACGCTTTGTATGTTTGCCCCCCCCCCCTTTCCACTAGCTGCATATGAATTCAATCCAAATCAATACACTTAGTTCAAAATTCAGGTCAATTTACTATTCATTTCACAAGGTCCTTGTATGCTTTTTCAGACATTTTATCATGAAAAAAAAATCTGAAATTTCTGTGTTTGATGATTTTGTTAATCATTTTGAGTTGATTAGTGTGGGAAAAACATTATTAACGTGTAATTTTTTCTGATTGGTCTTTTAAAAAAAATCAGTTTTTAAACAATTTTTTTGGGACGTCATCTTTAAAGACTATCGTCAACACTAATACCAAAATTGCCTGGAGTACTGTATTATCTCTATTAGTGCATGCGCTTGTGTAAATTACAGATGTGTTTCTAGGGTTGAAATAAGGATTATTGTAATGATTCAGTGTACGACAAATGTTTGTTTACTGTGAAATACTTTATTTTAGCTGGAATTAATTTTCGCTGAAAAGCCTTTTTGGGGTGTTTTATATGAAATTTACTTTCACTGATTTTTGATGATTTCATATGTAAAATATAGGAAAAATGTATAATTCGCTGGATTTTATTTTCACTGAATTATCCATTCAGCGAAAATAGCAAAAATAAATTCCAAGGAAAATAAATTAATTTACAGTATATAAGCTTCTAAATGTTCAAGTATAGTGATTTTGTAAATTAAATATTTTTTGTGCAAATTGTGATTTACCGAATTCAATCTCGCTTTCAACAATTCGGTACGAGTCCAGTCACCCGATGGCTGAAACCATCGCACTGCAAGATCTCGCGTAATGTCGGTAAAGCCAGATTCTAACATCTGCCACTAAAATCAAACTAATTTTGATTTTTTTTATGATTCAATGTCGAAATGCTGGTAATTCAGAGAAAAACATGGCATGGAGATATCCTTACTCCATCAAAATTGACTACTGTGAAATACTTAATTTTCGCTTGGAATTAATTTTCGATATTTTTTTTCATATATTTTACATTCAACTTGTCAAAAATCAGTGAAAATAATTTCCGTACAAAACACCCAAAAGTCTTTTCAGTGAAAATTAATTCCAGCTAAATAAAGTATTTTACAGTATCAAATGTGTGTTGTGTTTAAGTACATTAAGCATGGAAATACTCCAAAAATACATTCTCATTTGACGAATCCCACACGATATTTCGACACCACTAACGATGTTATGCCCTTTGTTTTATCATTTGATTCACCCATAATGTAGAATTTTACACTAAATGAAAAATAGACTATTTTGAAAAAAAAACATTGAATGAATCCCACACGATATTTTGACATCTCTATGATGTTATGCCCTTTGTTTTGTCCAGTTTTATCATTTGATTCACCCGTAATATGTCCTGTTTTATCATTTGATTCACCCGTAATATGTCCTGTTTTATCATTTGATTCACCCGTAATATGAGATCTTGTACTAAATAAAAAATAGGCTGTTTTGTAGAAAACTTGTTCTGTTCATAACATGCTTAAGTACCAAATCCAAGATGACTTCATCAGAACAATTTGTCTTCTATGTGTTCTTGTTCAATATGTCTATATTGATTGAAAACAACTGAAAAATGAGCCTGTACCATTTCATTTGATGACCATTTTTTCTGCATTAAATATTTTTTTTTTTTTAATAACAAGGATGTAACTGTTGGTGGAAACATCGATGTAAACAATTTTATGGTTTCAAATTTTGTCGCGTTATCATACCCTACCCAATAATTTGCAAAAATTTGTAAAAGTTGCTCAACCAAAGCCCCACCTACCATCCTTCATTATTCCTTATGTCTGTGCCCAGACGATATACATGTGGAACACGGGCAGGAATTCGGATGGTCAGTCTTACCGTACATTGAATTTCTTAGAATGTAGGAGGGAGATTGTCACCACACTTTACTTCTATTTTAAGTCAAATGCCAAAGACATTTGCCAAAGTCACTGACACTCTGTCGTAGGATTATTCCAAGAACAAAATTTCACAATTTTCCTGACATGCAAAAGTCTCCGCTAAAGATACAAGTGTCAAATATGAATTTTTTCAACGCATGCATTTTATATTTATTTATTTCCGTGTTATTATTGGTTATGTGTATTGATTTCATCTCTGCATTCTCAGTAAAAATAACAAATTCTACTTAACTAATTTCTGCTAAAATTACTGTTTTAAAAATCTACAAAAATGTATGTGCTTTGTGTGTTGGATATTCACTAATTTCTGCATTATAAAAAAAATGTTTTAGCCGTTGTCTGTTGACCTTGAAATGCTTGTACTGGTAAATACAGAATTCAACAGGACCAAATTTCCACAAAATTTGGTTATAAAAAGTCTAGTTTTATGTTCCTGTTTGTTCAATAATTTCTGCATTCCGAAAAGAGTGTTGGATGTTGACGACCTTGAAATGCTTAAAAATACAGAATTATGCAGAACTGAATTTCTGCTAAAAATTACTTTTATTAAAAAGTCTTGATTTTTGCAGTTATTTTGTTCAATACATTCTGAAAAAATAGATTTGATGCCCCCCTCCCTCCCTTCACAAAATCTAGGAGTAATATACGAAATTCGGCAGAGTGGGTCCTGCTGAAATTAAAGCTGTTAAAAACCTCAATTTTATGCTGTGTATGTTCATAGATTTCTATGTTGAAAAAAAATGTAGGTATATTTTTGCCGACACCTCTCCCTATCTGACAAGCTCCATTATTGTACAGAACCAATTTCTGCTAAACTTAACAACTATCAATAACCAGTTTTATGCTGTGTATGTTCACTAACGACAAAAAGTGACCACCCCACCCTCTGAAAAATCAATGAAAATCCAGAATTCTGCTGAGCAAATTTCCACTAAAATTACACCTATCAAAAACCAGTTTTACGCCATTCATATTCACTAGTAAAAATTACAACACCACACCCAACCTCCTGAAAATCCAGAATTCTACAAGATCAATTTCTGCTAAAATTATCGCTGTCAAAACCCGAGATAAATTTGACACAGTATAGAGATCTTGTATTATTATGTGGTGATTTGATTCTTCTACAAAGCAAGTTAGTATTATTTAGGTCAAACATGGAGACTGGCATTCTTTTGAAAACAACACTCTAGACACTTTATTCATAAATATTAACCTTTTCACCACCAGACTTTCTTGCCCGAATTTTTTCGCACTTTTTTTTTTCTTATATTTTTCAATATTTCTGGAAATGAACTAATTTTAGAGCCAACAGACAAAATTTGAGTTGATATTCAATTTTTACTTACAAATTTTGCTATTTTTAGCCCAATCTATTGAAGGAAAGTGCAGACTGTAAATGGGACTATTTTATGATATAAAAAGGGACCTGGTGGTGAAAAGGTTTACACTAGACCAGTGTCTCCACCTAAACAAGTTTACAACTGAATAGTGTTATGACTTAATCTAAAAAACAAAACAAAAAAACACCTAAATTGGGATTTGAAATGCATGAAATTAAATGTTTTCCAGATTATCTAATTAGCATTAGAATACTGAATAAAAGTAAAATTAAAATGTTGACTATTTTCATAATTTAAGAAATATTAAAACTTAAATACCACAAATGCATTAATTATCGCTAGGTTATAATTTAACTATTTTTGTTCATAAGTAAAATCTGCTAAGTTTTTGTGCAAAGCGACAGTTCCGGACATTGAATGTTACTGTTGTCTCTCCCGACCTTCTTCTTCCTTTGCAAATTACAAGGGCTAGTGCTGACACTTTTTTTGCCACAAAAGTCATATTCATGTTTGGGACTAACATGTCAGGGCTGTGTGGCCATCTCTCTATCAAATAGTAATTCAATACATTGTCCTAGCATCAACCAGGCCCAGGTGAACACAATAAATTATAAACTGTGAATTTAAAACCTATGAATTTGATAAAAATAGTAAAATTAAATCATAGTAGAAATTAATGTTTTTACAGTACCTGTGTGAAGGTCGGTATTGTAAATGCATTAATTATTCATTGGGTTTTAATTCTCTATAGACTACATGAAACATAGAACTCGTTGCTACCCTTGAAGTCGTACATTGAAAACAAAATTATTCTCAAAATGCAAAAAAGTAAATACCAATGCAAATTAACTTTCATTTTATTCGTGCCGGAAACTAAAAAATAAGCAGATGTGTATTTTGTTGGATCTTACTTAAAATGAAGTGCTGTGCTATGAAATATTTTAGCTGGTTTTAATTTTTGCTGAAAAAGACGTATTGAGTGTTTGTTTTCACTAATTTTGATGAATGTAAAATCAAAAAAAAACAAAAAAAAACAGTATATTTG